TTTGAAAGGTGAGCGTGGCTCAGCTGTTTCGAGGAAGCTCAGTGTGTGGGCCTGCAGCACGGTGTCGTGCACGCCACAGCGCGAGCGGGGAGCAGCCCTGTGTGCGGGAGCACGGGGACGTCCCGGGCCTCGCGCTTGCTCGGGGCAGCATTCCCGCTGACTGCGCGGCCCCTTTCCGCACACCCAACGGGAAGTCGGAATGCCTAGCCCAGGACTTACGGCTATAAACAGGATCCATTTGCCTGGGTGTCAAGCATGGGCTCCACGGCTCTTCATTAAAATGAAAGCCTTTCATTTTATGATACCACAATTTCAAATGAAACTACGCAGTGTCATATGCACATAGTAAATTGCAATTAAATGTATCAACAGGCCCTCTATCATTTATAGTTACTTGGAAAGCATCATCCTTACCATAGTTCAATAAAAATAAAACTAAGGCTATAACATTAATCAATCAACATTAAGAAAAAGAAATAAACAAGCCAACAATGTATACCGTGACATATCTTACCTCACCTTGCCCAGTTACAGATCGTTCACTTATTTAAAAACTTGGGGAAAAAAAGAAAAAAAAAAAAAAAGGAAGAATCTTGAGAAAGGAAGGGGGAAACAAAACAAAACAAACCCAGCCACCTACCCACCTACTATGAGCATGAACAGGAAGAGATGCTATAATTCACTGAAATACAACTGATAAAATAAGCAGGTACAAATACCAAATATGAAATTGTTTTATGATTGTAACATGAAATGTGTTTCTTTCCCAGTAGCAAAGGGGAAAGAAAAAGCCAACTATGAAAACTCAAAACCAATTTTAAATAAAATGCCATCTCACAGTTTATCTGCAGAATTCACAACCATAATACTGAGCCAGAATTTAAATTTTAATCTACATAAATTTATTTAAATATTATTTCCAGGGGTAGTAGAAATATTTCTACATATTAGCTAGAATAAAAATTCATAAAATCTTTGGGAACTTTCAGGACAAAAAAGTACCACCAACAGTCCATGGCGTAGAGAAAATTTCTGCCATATTGTAAAGAAATTGAAGAAAAAATTTAGAACACTTCTTTTTACAATTTGCATGATTAAAAAAAAAAAAAACTCATTGATGATTTTGAGCTTATCTTCCTGCATTTTTGTTGTACAGCTTGGGGTAAACAAAAGGATGTAAGTAAATTTATTTTTTATTAGTTAATTTAATTTTTTAAAAATCAAAACATTTCATGGTGGTAGTTTTTTGTGTAGTAAAGTGAACATTTGACAGACTACAGGAGATAAATATGCTTCACACAAAGCAAGAAGTGAAGTCCATCAGCCATTAATGCATACACGCGATGAACTTCAAAGACAAACAAGGCAGGGTAGGGTTTAGAGGGCAACAGTAACACATGTAAGATATGCAGCAATGTAGAGAGATTCAGTTATGCTTAGTAAAGCACTAGGATTTTTGTTGAGAACATATAGAGCAGTTCTAGGTTTGGAAAATGATACTGTTAACTCCAAAGTTTAAATCTATTAATACAGGCTCAGACTGGGAGTTCAGAAAGCCTGCTGTGTGAACAATTTTCAACATTCAAACACGTCAGTTGCATTAACCCTAGTACAGCAATTATCAGAGACATTTTAAGAGATTATCCATGCTTTTCAAGGTTTTTAAATTCAAAAAAAAGGATACCAGTATGCAGTAAGACAGAGCTTTTTCAAGGCAGGACAATATTATAGAAAAGGAATATTTTAAACCTAAATCTGTTTTGTATAAAAGCCCATTGGCTGACTAGGCTTTGTAGACTTTTATACTAAATCTATTTCTCAGCAAAAGACTCCAAGAACTGAGACTTTTTTTTTTTGGCCTTTGCAGCTACTGAAATAGCAAAATAGTAGAATTTGGACTTTTGCACAAAATCTTAAAAATTTATTTCAATATTCTGGCTAAAGTCCAATCATATCATCAGCTTATTTTCTACATCAGTTTAAGAAGTCCTATCTTATTGTCCAAATATCTAGAAAATTTTGCATGTACCTTGCTTAGTGAGCATTCAAGTATTCAGACTTGGTTCATTATAGATGGAAATCATCACCATTTCACCAAAAACAATTTACAAATACAGCTGTTCAAAAGGTAGAATAAAAAAGTCAAAATACTTCAGTCTGTGGTTGTTCTGCACGGTTATTGAAATACCCTTATTTTTGTAAAAAAATACTTAAATGGCACATGATAAGAAAATGAATACCCCTGAGTTATGCTGCACAAATATTTTGGGCAATCAGTTGTAACGTGCAAGTAGTAATTTTTTGAATGCTCGAAAAAGTTTATGCTATAATATACACTCTTTTACATGCTTTATGCTGTATAGCAGTAAATTCCAACTAAATGCATCAAGCACACTGCTGTTTCATAAAGTTACATTGCACGAGCAATTAATGCTGAATATTTAAGAAAATACTTCCTAAATGCATTATTTTTAATTAAATAGTAGATGAGCTGAGAGAGAAGCACACTGCCTCATCAGAATGGTATAACCTTCACTATTTCTTTGCAGCACGGGATAGTGTAATGCCGGTATTTCAATACCGTTTCTTTTCCTTTCAGCAGCCCAAATTTTAGCAACATAGCCAAACAGAAAAGCACCCTCCACATTCAATTCTTCCTAAAGATGTCAGCTACAGCTACAAAAATCAAGCAGTTAAATATTTGAAAGTTAAAGCAGTGCATTCCTAATGTAATTACATAAATCATATCATCTTTTACCATAATAAGTTCTCCATATTAGAAAGAGATGATCTAACTCTAAAATAATTACTTATCTTGTAGTATCTATTTGTCAAGTGTTTGTTAAGTAATGGAGCATTTTTTTTTATTTAACATGACTTCAGAGTACAGCATAAGCTTTTCCTGATCTGCATTGGGCACTCCTAGAAGTCAGTCCCTGGGCATATACAGAGACAGATCAACAACTGGTGAAGAATACAGTCGAATTCCTCCCCATCTGTAAGGGTTGTGCAAGACTCAAATCTACTCAAGGGTGCCCCCATCCGTGAGACAGTCCTTTCTTGCCTTGCCTTATTCTTTATACATTTTCATACTTCTCCAGCAGTCAAGGGCAGCAGCTAACAATCTGTCCACAGACAAGTCTGATTCATTTCCTATTTTGTTTCTTTGAACAAGGCAACAATTTTTCATTGCACATCCTCCAAAGCTTCCATTATCTGTTCTTAACCCACAGGTGTTGCTTCACAGTGCATTTGAAGCAAAGCCTACAGTATTTTCACGTGAGATACTAAGGCTCCAGCACCCAGATTCAATGCATTGCTGATGTACTTGACCCAAGCACTGAAGCTAGTGCCTCCAGGAACGCGCTGGAAACCCTCAGCTCTCTCATCTCGAGCTGTAACTTGCATAGTTCCAACCAAGTGCCTAAGGATGGACAAGAATTCATCCTTTAACAGTACTAATCCAAACACGCAAAGGAGATGAAAGCACTCAAGCTATGTCTCTCAATTAGAGCCCTATCAACTATACCATATTGCCTGCTGAAACTCATGACACCTTGGTTTTTGAATACTTGACTTCGTAACTTAAAAATGATAATATACTTTCAGATGCAGGAAAACCACAAAGTCATCAGCAGTTGGAGTACTTATCCACTGCACACATCTGCACTGTAAACAGTAACATGTAGCAGCAACAGCAGCTGATTCTCCCCACTTCAGAGTAAGCAGGACCTCTTTTGCCACCCATTTCCTTGATCAGAAGGGACTGCATCCCCAGCTGTCCCCACGTTCCAAGCCCAAAACAGTGTTGTCTGATGGCTACAGAAGAGTGCCCAGGCCTCCCTCTCTCACTTCTCTAGGCCCTCCAAGGTTTATCCATGTCTTAGGTTAACTCTAAAGTCTTTCCTAACTTTACTTTCAACTGCGTGAGGTTATTTGAGACAGGCAAACACATGGAGCTAGCAGCTCCAGCTAACAGCAACCAGCATGGCAGCTGCTTCTCTAGTAGAGCCCCTGCTGCCCTGGGCAGTACCTATTTCCCACATGGAAGTTTTAAGTTTTATAAGTAAAGAAAATCCCCCCAGTGCAAAGATGCCAGCAGTCCTCAAACCATAAACACTGCTGGATAGAGCCCCCTTAGTAGTCTGTATAAAATCTGAAACATTACCTAGCAAACTACAGTAACTGATTCTTTTTGTAAAGGGTTTTAGGAGTGCCATTTACTCTTGACAGATTGTCCTTTTTCTACTTCCAGGCCCGACGCTCACGCCAGACGGGGCTACGCTCCTGCTGGAAAAGTGTCTGGCATCATTCACTGGTATTTTAAAATTCAGTTTTAAAGTTTAATTTTCAAATTGAAAATTAGCATGTATGCCAGGTATCACCCAAAAATTCTTCCTTTAATGCACTGCCAGCTTTACTCAGAATTGCCATTTAAAATTTCACTTTCCATTAAAAAACAGGTAATAAATAGATTTGATGCAAAATGGTGTTGGTAGAAAGACAACTCCATTTTGAACAGTTTTAAAACACACTCCCACAACAGGCTGCAAAGAATTTGTGCATTCCCCCAAAATATTACCTTTCATGCAATGCATGGCATGTGAAGCACAAATTGCACCAAAATTCATACATGCTAAGGTGTGGTTGAAGCTGTTTCTGAAACAAATTTTTTACTGATTAAGATAAACTCTTAAACAGTGACGAGGAAAAAAAAAGAAAAAAAGGACAACTAAATGTGCATCTAAAACATATTCTGTTGATGACACAGGGAATGAAGAAAATAAATAAATCTGCATTTTAATGTATCTTATATATAAACAAAGACAATTTGTAAGCTTTTGCACAAAAACAATGTCTTTTAGGGAACCATAATAAACAACCTGGGAAAAAAGTGCAGTCAAAAAACAAATCTCTGCTGAAGTCAAACATGCAACAGAGAAAGCAGCTGAAACAATCAGGCTAAATCTATCAGCATATAAGGAACCTGCAAATTGAAATCATACAGCAGCATCAAACTGAACAATACCATATTTCCCACTTATCATCCATTCGGGTTCAGAAGCCTGAATTTGTTCACCTTGCCCTGGTTTTAAGCCAACCTGAATGTCAGATTTCAGTGTTCTCAAACTACAGAGGGGTGCAGGATGAAACCTGTTCAAGGCTTGATAAAATGGAACAGAATATTCCCATTTTCTATCTCCTGCTAATTTTCTATAGTTTAGATCACCTTTGAAAAGAAGCAAGTTTGACTTCTGTAAATCAGCATACAAATCAGGAGCAACTTTAGCCATGCTAGAAAATTCATGTGGCAGAGTCCAAAACATGTTATCATGGAAAACCCAAACTCCCTTTTTCAAATTGCCCTCCCAATTTATTCCACATCTAGACATCCACATATGATTAGCTGACTGCAGTTGTTTAATAGTCCAGTTAAAATCATGCTTTGTGGTATCTGACACATACCATGGAATACTTTTTCCATGGAAATGGATTTCATCAGCTAGCTTGGATGATAACAGGAAGTCAGCCAATACAAGATCAGTTACAAGTTCAAATCCAGCATTATCCAGGATTATGTCAACTCTAACAATAGATTTATCCGTAGTTCTTTTTTTGGCATCTGTAAGTAGCGACCAAAGTTTTTCCATATCATTCACTAAGATGTAAGGTAGCAAGTCTTGCAGGGATTCTAAAGGACTAGATTTCTGAGAGCTGTCTTCACCAGCTGAAAAAGAAAGGTCACATTTATTTCCCCAAAGGGACACCTAGAACAAGGGAAAAGAAAAAACAAAAAGACTTTCTAAGTCTTATTGCAGTTGCATTATAGACTTTACATACATTAAGTATATATTCTTCCTTCATTTTAGGAACACAAAGGCTCTGTCTCCCTGTTTTCCAAACTTTAATAAAAGTCAGCTTCTTGTACAGAAATATTAATATAGGAAAAATCTCTTGGAAGAAGCCAAACAATGCTCTGTATTCCTGTAGACATCAGGAACATGTATCAAAGGGAGAAGATAATAATTAACATAAATACCTTAATCACCATACTAAAAAAATAATCTATTTGGCAGGCTGCAGTTCCAGAAAGTCTCGGTGGGAATATACAAAAAGGAATAACAACAACAGACTAAAACTCAGACTAAATAATGTACTATATGAAGCTAAGAAAAATATTTTAAGTATAAATCCATGAAATATAAAAATAGTTTAAATAAATACCAATGAGGTCTTTATAAAGATTTATCAGATAATTAGCTGTGCATGTTGCCAGCTAATGGATTCATTTGCAATACTCTATTTCATATTTTACCCAAGGGCATTATTTTCAAGAGTAATGAAGTTATAAAATCCCTTTAAATGTCTTCCAACACCGACTGGCTTCTAACTTTCCAAAAAAACCCTCAAAACTCTGTAATGCATCAACAAAAATAATTTTAGAAATGTTACAGTTCAAAGGCCATCTTGAGTCTGACTTAATGAAAGTATAATGCATAAAGCATAATGAAAGTGTCAGACACAACACAAGCAACCAAAGCTTAAATATTTCCAAAGTAACATCAGAGTATAGCTGTCAGGACAGCATAGCATTTTTACAAGTAGAAGAACCAGATTTTATTTCCATGTAAAGTTTAATATCTCTACAACCTCACGGCTTTTGTTTGCTAAAGAGAGACTTTTAAGTTCTTGTATTGAGCATTACTGGTTTACCTGTAGTAGGTTAAAAAGTTCCCCCTTAAGTTGCTTTTCGTCAAGATCCTTGATGTTCTTAAGAAGTTCCTGAAAGTAAGTGCATAAGGCAGTAACAGCTTGCTGGGATTCAAAAAAATTTTGAGCCTTTCCTTCCTTAAATACGTCGAAGTTGTTAATGGGTGGGCTAAAAATAAAAAGAAAAACAAGTATATTAGCCTACTTCCCACATTGTTATTTACAGCAGCATAAATACTCATGAATATGTTAGCTTTCATTAGGCAGTGTTAGGGATGATAGCCTTTCCACTTCTAACTTCTCATTCTTGCACAACTCTGAAAATGACCCACTGTTTCAGACACACCAATTTGGGGAACTGCACATATACTTGCAATTTTTGAATTCCTTTCCTCATAAAAATTATTAAAACTATAACATAAGTGAACTTAGTGAACAGATGGCCTGGCCCAATTTTGAGTACATTTGTGGTTACAGAAGCGTATTTTTCATACCAAATTCTCTTACAGTAGTTAACTAGACTTTGGGAAAATAATCTGAGTATACAAAAAAAGAATTAGTTCTTAAAATGGACGAGCCTGTATGTTTTACATATTACAGGGGCCTATTTACAGTTAAACCTTTTGACCAATGATTCAGTGAACCTCCATGTAAGCATATACTTAAAAGCAGCAAAGTGACTGAGAAACTTAGAGTTTACTCATTAAAAGCATCAGTTCAATTTCTAAAGTGCCACCCAGAAGATCAATCCCCCATTTAAAAGTTTTGCAAAAAGAGTTGAAATTACACAATATACAAGCTAAAACAAAGTCTCATTACTGCATTTCCATCCCCGTAATAATACGGGGACAGCGCTATTCATGAACTTTTAATTTTTTTTTTGAAGGAGTGGGGCCTTAAACTGTTCATTTCTACCCTATTACATGTAACTGGCCGCAGCATAACATTTTTTTTCTGCCAAGTTATTTTTAACCGGGATCTTCTCCCAATATTTGTTAACTTGAAAATACAACTGTAACTAAGGACAGTAAGGTAGATTAACTAGCTGGATGGCAGAGCTCAGAGGGTGGTGATCAGCGGTACAGAGTCTAGTTGGAGGCCTGTAGCTAGCGGTGTGTCCCAGGGGTCAGTCCTTGGTCCAGTCCTGTTCAATTTATTCATCAACGACCTAGATGAAGGCACAGAGTGCTCCCTCAGCAAGTTTGCTGATGATACCAAACTGGGAGGAGTAGCCGATACCCCAGAGGGCTGTGCTGCCATCCAGAGGGACCTGGACAGACTGGACAACTGGGCGGTGAAAAACCTCATGCAATTCAACAAGGGCAAGTGCAAGGTTCTGCACCTGGGGAGGAATAACCCCAGACACCAGTACAGGCTGGGGACCGACCTTCTGGGGAGCAGCTCTGCGGAGAAAGACCTGGGTGTCATGGTGGATGACAAGTTGATCATGAGGCAGCAGTGTGCCCTCGTGGCCAAGAAGGCCAATGGAATCCTGGGCTGCATTAAGAAGAGCATCTCCAGCAGGTCGAGGGAGGTGATCCTGCCCCTCTACTCAGCCCTGGCGAGGCCACATCTGGAGTACTGTGTCCAGTTCTGGGCTCCACAGTACAAGAGGGATGTGGAGCTGCTGGAGAGAGTCCAGCGCAGGGCTACAAGGATGATCAGGGGCCTGGAACATCTGCCCTATGAGGAGAGGCTGAGGGAGCTGGGCCTGTTCAGCCTGGAGAAGAGAAGGCTGAGAGGGGATCTAATCAGTGTCTGTAAGCACCTCAAGGGAGGCAGTGAGGAGGATGGTGCTGGCCTCTTTTCAATGGTGGCCACCAAAGAAATAGAGGAAACAGTCAGAAACTGAAGCATCAAAAGTTCCACAGGAACTTAAGGCAAAATTTCTTAACAGTGAGGATGACAGAGCACTGGAACAGGCTGCCCAGAGAGGTTGTGGAGTCTCTTCTCTGGAGATCTTCAAAACCCGCTTGGATGCAGTCCTGTGCCACGTGCTCTAGGTGACCCTGCGTGTGCAGGGGGGGTTGGACTAGATGATCTCTAGAGGTCCCTTCCAACCTTAAGCATTCTATGATTCTATGACACAGTAGAAGGAACAGGGGCTGTTTAAGCCAGGTTTCCTGCCACCAAGAACAGCTCTCAAACACTTCTCAGCTTTTTAGCAGCAAAAATTTGAATGGCCCAACAGATCAGTGGCTCTCCCATTTTGCATTTTATGCCAAGATATTGAGAAACGCTTCTAGCCTCATAAACCATTAAAAAAATATATCTCAATATACATTGGTCTGCAGAGTATACAGATACAGGATTTAGAGTTTTGGTATACAGCAAGTCACAAACTGGGGCAGGAAAAAAAAAATAAGATTTTTAAAATCCACTGCACAGAAGACAGCAAAAGGACTAGTTTTGAAATTAAAGCAGATTAAGGCAAGGTCAAAGAAACATGGTAAACAATTAAGTCTTTTGTTTTACCTTACTCCACAGTTGTCTTCCTTTCTCTTAAAGGGAAAGTTAAGAACAGCTTTTTGCAAAGTAATATGTTAGCAAGTACTTACCTTTGTGCTAATGCTGACTGAATTCTTCGATACATGTAACATTCTACGTAGAGCCAAGGGGACTGAAACCAGCTTGGTTCTCCATTTCCGCTGGACAGATTCCGTTGACAGTCCAGGTACTGGTTCCACAGTACAGCATCTGCCAGCTCATCTTCTAAAGGGGTCACTGGCTTGTCTGTTTGCAATTCATTCCGTAATTTTGAGAGGAAAGATATAGCTCTCTTCTCTGCTTCAACACCCTTCTGAAGGAAGGGGGGAACAAGAGATTCTATTCTGAATATTCATTCCCATGGCATCATAGATCAACTTTCAGAACATCAATAAGTGATAAACTCTTAACAGCCAAACACAGAAAACTTCCTAGAAAAGTCTTATCTTGGCTTCCATCAAAAACCTCTTGTTAAACCTTATTTTACAGCTAACACCTCTTAAAATGAGTCAAGTATCAGACTTCTTTTTAAATTGGACTTTTGCACTTTTTTATGAGAGTAACTTGAAACACTGCTATCTTCAAAAGATTTTAAAGCATATCAGACACAGCAGGCATAAAAGAGAAACTGAGGTACTTGGAGAAGATCAGAAAACCAGAAAGTTAAAAAAATAAGAGACACCTACAAGAATGAGATGACCAAGACAGAAATAAAGAGATTACAAAAGCTAAAGACAATAGGAAATAACTTGTAACAAAGAGAAGAAATTTCAAGGATTACAGAAACCCTTCAGCTTAACATAGAGAATTTATTCCTACCTCACCATGTTCTTCAAAGAATTCATTTTTATGCCGATGCAGAGTGTCAATAACTTTTGTGAGGATCTGAGGAAGTCTGTCTTTGATTGTAACATATGCAAAAGACCTAAAAAGGGATGGATCAAAGCATTAATCCTAAAAGGAATTTTTGATAAACTTGTTTTTCAGAGCTTGCATTTAAGTGCCTTGAAAGCAACGGGCACCAAAAATAAAACTTCAACTGGGCGAGTTTGCTGGTCTACTTTCAGAGGGAAAAGAACTTTGTTTTTTTAGAGCAAGTGGTTGGCCCAAGCAAAAGCACAAAAATCGGAATCAATTTCACACACACAAACAAAAATGCTACCTGTATTTGCTCAATTACCCAGCGGGAGTATCAAAAAAAACATAAATATAGAGCAGGTTTAACAATAAAAATAAGTGCTGCTTACTTTCTAATATACACTGGATTTACTGCATATTTTTAAGATAATCATTTAGGAAAGCACGATCAACACAGCAGAATCTTTAACCGAAATCGGCGCAGGAACGTTTTTAAACCGCTTTGCTCCTAGCGCTGGAGCTGGGTTTCAAACACTACAAGGAAACAGTTACCCATCACCGGGTATCAAAGAAACCTAGGAAGCAAAACACGGTATGGGCTCCTCCAAGCGCCCCCGCTGCAAGCACCGAGCAGGCACCGCCGCGGCAGCAGGGAGCC